TTTTGCATTGTGCACTCCTAAATCCTGCGCTTTCTGAATTATGCACTCACTCCTAGTCCTGCACTCTCTGCTTTTTGCTATCCTGAGTCCTGCGCTCTCTCTATTTTATGCACTCCTGAGCCCTGCACACGTTGCTTTACACATTCCTGAATCCTGTATAATTTGCATTGTGCGCTGGTAAATCCTGTGCTTTCTGAATTACGCACTCCTGAGCCCTGCACTCTGTTTTATGCACTCCTGTACTCTGCACTCACTGAATTATGCACTCCTGTGCTCTGCACTCACTGAATTATGCACTCCTGTACCCTGCATTCTCTGAATTATGCTGTCCTGCGCCCTGCATTCTTTGAATTATGCACAGCTGAGTCCTGCAATCTCTGCTTTATTCACTCCTCAGTCCTGCATTCTGTGCTTGATGCACTCCTGTGTCCTGCACTCTCTGAATTATGCACTCCTGAGTCCTGTACACTCTGAATTACACACTTCTGAGTCCTGCACTCTCTTCTGTACGCACTCCTGAACCCCCTATAATCTCTGCGCTACATACTCTTGAGCCCTGCATTCTGAAAGACAGATTCCTCATTCTTTTACTGCACTCTGGATTACGCACTTCTGAGTCCTACATTATGTGTGTTACATACATAGAATATACATACACATTCTCTAAATGCACACTCCTGAGCCATGCACTCTGTTTTATGCACTCCTGAACCCTCTGCTTTCTGTGTTGTGCACTCCTGAGCCCTGCAGTCTCTAAAATATGCACTCCTGTGTCCTGCACTCTATGAATTACGCACTCTTTCAGTCCTGCACTCTCTGCTGTCCTCTCTCCTGAGTCTTACACTTTCTGCTTTCCTCTCTCCTGAGTCCTGCATTTTCTGAACTACACTCTCCTGGATTCTGCACTCCTGAGCCATGCAATCTCTGCTTTATGCACTCCGGATCCATGCACTTTCTGCATTGTGCACTTCTGAGCCCTGCACTTTCTGAACTTCTCTCTTCTGAGTCCTGCACTCTGCTTTATGTACTCCTGCATCCTGCACTCTGCTTTATGCACTCCTGGATCGTGCACTCTGCTTCATGCACTCCTGAGCCCTGAATTCTCTGCTTTATGCACTCCTGAGCCCTGCACTCTCTACTTTATGCACTCCCAATCCATGCACTCTCTGTGTACTTTCTGCATTGTGCACTCCTGAGCCCTGCACTGTCTGCGTGACACACTTCTGAGCCATGCGCTCTCTGCTTTATGCACTCCTGATCCCTGCACTCTCTGTGTTATGCACTCCTGAGCCCTGCACTCTCTGCTTTATGCACTCCTGAGCCCTGCACTCTCTACTTTATGCACTCCTAATCCTTGTACTCTCCGTGTTATGCACTCCTGATCCCTGCACTCTCTGCTTTATGCATTCAGGATCCCTGCACTCTCTGTTTTATACACTCCTGATCCCTGTACTCTCCGAGTTATGCACTCCTGATCCCTGCATTCTCTTCTTTATGCACTCCTGATCTCTGCACTCTCTGCTTTATGAACTCTCTGCTTTATGCACTCCTGATCCCTGCACTCTCTGCTTTATGCACTCCTGATCCATGCACTCTCTGTGTACTTTCTGCATTGTGTACTCGTGAGCCCTGCACTCTCTGCATGACTCACTTCTGAGCCATGCGCTCTCTGCTTTATGCACTCCTGATCCCTGCACTCTCTGTGTTATGCACTCCTGAGCCCTGCTCTCTCTGAATGCCACACTCCTGATCCCTGCACACTATGCGTTATGCACTCCTGATCCCTGCACTCTCTACTTTATGCACTCCTAATCCCTGTACTCTCCGTGTTTTGCACTCCTGATCCCTGCACTCTCTACTTTATGCACTCCTAATCCCTGTACTCTCTGTGTTATGCACTCCTGATCCCTGTACTCTCCGTGTGTTATGCACTCCTGATCCCTGCACTCTCTGTTTTATGCACTCCTGATCCCTGTACTCTCCGTGTTATGCACTCCTGATCCCTGCACTCTCTGCTTTATGCACTCCTGATCCCTGCACTCTCTGTTTTATGCACTCCTGATCCCTGTGTTATACTGATCTCTGTGCTTTATGCACTCCTGATCCCTGCACTCTGCTTTATGCACTCCTGATCTCTGCACTCTGTGTTATGCACTCCTGAGCTCTACTCTTTAGACACTATGTTGTATATTTCATACTCCTGACCACAGCACTCTCAGTACATTACATTTTAGGTAAGCCACTCCCACTGTTAGTGCAGGTTGACCACAATTCGGCACTTTATTACAATTTTTTTTTCTCTGGGGAGATAAAAAAGCTGCCAGATATTTATTACTCAGAAAATATCTTTTTTTTTCTCCCTGGTTACAATAGAAAAGCTGCCAGATATGCTAGGTATGCCACTGTCTCAGAAAACTGAGCCTCTCTCACATTGATACCATCTAAATGGTTACAAGGAAAGCAATTCTACCAGGCTATGTACAGACAGTAATGGTGTTACTGCTAACTTTACATGGTAATAACCATGCTCTGCCCCACTTTCATGTATTTTTTGTGTTGTATTGTGCTACATCAGGTTATTTTTCTTTTGTGGTATTCTGCCACCTAGTGGCAATTTAGAGCCACTACAATTTTGTTTATTAGGTATCTCCCTCTGTCCAACCCTCCTGTTTAGTGCTAGTTAGTTCAATTTCCTCCATGTTCCCTCAGCCAGTGTTAGTACTTTGCAGAGACAGTGCTTATGAAAGTCATTCTTTTCTTACAATTCAAAACAATGGACAAAACATCCTCTGTACTGCAATTAGCTGAAGTAGAATTGCATGGCATCCAGCTTCTGTATCTTACTGAAGAGTTAAGGTGCCTGTGGATGGTGCCAAGTTAGCAAGTTACCATACAGACTGGGTCTAAGGTCATGTCAAAGCATAGCACACCATTTGGATCAGAACAAACTGGGTTTACAAAGGCATTTTGTGTACACATAGTGGACATATCTTTTGTGGTTATGACAGAATAAATTTAAACAACCTTTTTTTTGCTCGGAGTTCAACATAAATAATCTTTAAGGATGAAATAACTGGATTAAATGTTTTTATTTCTGCCTAGAGCATAGTTTTAGGTTTGTAGGGATTGTGTCATAGAACGTCTGTATTTACCATCACATGATCTTCATTCGTGCATGAATAAAGACCTCAAATATTCAAATGTTCAAATATTTTCCTAAATTCAGTTGACATAAAACATACCGACTATAAGAAGCTCGGCGGACAGTTGGTTCAGTGAAATGGCAGTGTTCTCATCTGCTGTTTGCATTGCTGGGTCCCCTGGTATTCTGTCCTACCAAGCAGACATCTCGCAGAGCCTTCCATCTGGCTCCGTTAGTTCAGCATATTCCACAGTACTAATATTATGTCTTTTATGACAGTTATTTCCTTCATTTAAAGGGAACCTACTGTGTGTTTAAAATCAGTGCAAGTTCTGAATTATCATTGTAATATTTAACTGAACGTTTTGATGGAACTTTATACATTTTTAATGGCATGCTGTTTCATAATTCCATTGCTGTATTTTGTACAGGAATTTAAATGCTCCCTCTAGTGATCATCTGGATGCCTTACCATTCCCCGCTTAATGTAGAATTTCCTGTCCAATACTATGTTTAGAAATGTGGAAAGAAGCAGGATGGAACGCCACACTCCAAAAGAACAGCCCAGGTGCAGAAAAGGGTAAAATCAGCATCAACCCAACTCCGGCTCCTCCGACACATTTTGTCTTGCCCACAGGGCTTAGTCATAACTGTGGACAGGGTGATACCTGGCCTCGGAGGTGTTGGGCTGAAGCCACTTTTATTCCACTTTCACGGGATCTCCCGTTCCACCCAGATGGAACGTAGCACTCCAAAGGAACAGCTCAGGAGTAGAAAAGGGTCAAATCAGCATCAACCCAGAAACCTGGCCTGGGAGGCATTGGGCTGAAGCCACTTTTATTCCGCTTTCATGGGATCTCCCGTTCCACCCGGATGGAACGCCGCACTCCAAAGGAACAGCCCAGGTGCAGAGAAGGGTAAAATCAGCATCAACCCAACTCCGGCTCCTCCGACACATTTCATCTTGCCCACGGGGCTTAGTCATAACTGTGGGCAGGGTGAAACCTGGCCTTGGTGGTGTTGGGCTGAAGCCACTTTTATTCCGCTTGGGATCATTCCGCTTTTATTCATGGGATCTCCCGTTCCACCCGGATGGAACGCTGCACTCCAAAGGAACAGCCCAGGTGCAGAAAAGGGTCAAATCAGCATCAACCCAACTCAGGCTCTTCCGACGCATTTCATCTTGCCCACGGGGCTTAGTCATAACCATGGGCAGGGTGAAACCTGGCCTAGGAGGTGTTGGGCTGAAGCCACTTTTATTCTGCTTTCACTGGATCTCCAGTTGCACCCGGAGTCCTGATTAACCAGCTGGCGCTGCTGCCAGCTGGTCACAGAGCCGAACAAAGATCAGACCGGCTCCATTAAATAGTAAACCGGAAGCAATGACCTGACATAGTACAGAAGAGAAGAAAAATGGAGTGTATCCAGGTGTCAGATCACTTCCAAAAAAATTATAATATTTTAGTGCCATGTCCTAATTATACCAGTCAAAAATTGAAGGGAAGGAAAGTTCATTTGCAACTTCTCCCCTGTTTCCTTCCCTTCAATTTTAGACCTGACATGGTAGGTTAACCACTTCAAGTCCGGACACTTTCACCCCCTTCCAGTCCAGGCCAATTTTCAGCTTTCAGTGCTATCACACTTCGAATGACAATTGTGCGATCATGCAACACTGTACCCATATGAAATTTTCAGCTTTTTTTTTTGAGACAGATAAAACTTTATTTTGATGGTATTTATTCACCACATGGATTTTTACTTTTTTTGTTCGCTATATAAATGAAAAAATTCAAAACTTTTGAAAAAAGTGAAAAGTGTGTTGCAAATAAATAATCTTTCTTAATAAATCTTGCCCAAAATTTACTCAGTTATCTTTTTAGAAAAAAAAAAAATAACCCAAATTAGTTTGTAACCAAAAATTATATTTTTTTTATTTTATTTTTTTATATAATTATTTTTTTTTTTAACATACTGTCACCACCCTAGCAGTACAGTGTCACCATAGTGCCACTGTACTACTTGTGGGCGCTGATGAAGATTATTTTTTTTACACTGATTGCTTTTACACCCATAAAGGCTGTAAAACCAATCATTTCTCCTTCTCTCTGGCTGCAGTCCTGCAGCCATTGAGAAATACTGTGAGAGCTGTGATTGGTCACAGCTTGTCACATGGTACAAGGTTGTTGTGAATAGGCTTGTACCATGTGACCTCTGTGCGCATTCACAGATTTCACTAGTAGTAAGCAATGATGTCACAAGTGACATCTTGCTTACTACTATTCATGTGATCACTGATTGGCCAATCAGCGATCACATGATCGGGACCTCACACAGAGGTCCCGTACAGCGATCAGTGTTCTGCTGTGTCCTCCGGACACAGTGGGCACTGGATCGCGGTGCTGCACGCTCCTAGGGAGCGCGCACAAGCAGGGAAGCAGGGAGGACGTTTATAAACGGCCACCCGCCCCTGCACTGCTCCCATTCGGCCGTTTATATACAAGGGCCGGGCGGGAAGTGGCTAATTGGCTCCTGTCTAAATTGTCCCTAGTGTGTGTATGTATGAATGTGAGTTAGGGACCTTAGATTGTACACCCCTTGAGGGTTAGGGACTGATGTGAATGTACAATATATATGTGAAGTGCTGCATAAATTGACGGCGCTATATAAGTACCTGAAATAAACAATAATAATAAACATCACTACCGTTTGCTCAGAGGCCTTTGGCACCATTTAAAAAAAAAATAAAAGCATTCGGTCACACCGATCTCAATGTGATTGAATGCTTTTAAGGGCAGAGGAGGTATTTGGGGTCTTATTGACCAGAGATCTCTCCATAAAGAGTACTTGTCAGATGCCTATTGCTGTCATAGCAGATAGTTACATTCTTTGTGATGACAATAAAAGTGATTTTTTTTTTACGTTGTCACTTTAAGAAAATTTTTTAAAGCGCCCCCCCTCCCCGTATTTGCACACAAAGATGGACGCATGCGTCGGTCCTGCACACATGCAAACAGGGATCGTCCCACACATGTGAGATCAGAATGTCAGATCATGGGCAGTAATTCTAGCACCAGATCTCCTGGGCAGCACAGTGGCTAAATGGTTAGCACTTGCACCTGGCAGTACTAGGGTTGTTGGTTCAAATCCCAGCCATGGCACCTCTTGCCTGGAGTTTGCATGTTCTCCCTGTGCCTGTGTGGGATTCCTCTGGTTTCCTCCCACACCTCAAAGACATGCTGGTAGGTTAATTGGCTCCTGGCTAACTTGGCCCTAGTATGTGTATGTATGAATGTAAGTTAGGGACCTTAGATTGTACGCCCCTTGAGGGTTAGGGACTGATGTGAATGTACAATATATATGCAAAGTGCTGTGTAAATTGACGGCGCTATATAAGTACCTGAAATAAATAAATAATCTCCTCTGTGAATATAAAGTGGTAAGTAACCTGTGAAGGCTTTTAAAGCATCGCCTATGGATAAAGAAATTTACATTATTGTCGTTGCACGGGCATGCTCAACTTTAAAGCGTGACATGTTTGGCATGTACAGTGGGGCAAAAAAGTATTTAGTCAGCCACCAATTGTACAAGTTCTCCCACTTAAAAAGATGAGAGAGGCCTGTAATTGGCATCATAAGTAGACCTCAACTATGAGAGACAAAATGAGAAAAAATCCAGACAATCACATTGGCTGATTTGGAAAGAATTTATTTGCAAATTATGGTGGAAAATAAGTATTTGGTCACCTACAAACAAACAAGATTTCTGGCTCTCACAGACCTATACCTTCTTCTTTAAGAGGCTCCTCTGTCCTACACTCATTACCTGTATCAATGGCACCTGTTTGAACTTGTTATCAGAATAAAAGACACCTGTCCACAAACCTCAAACAGTCACACTCCAAACTCCCATGGTGAAGACCAAAGCTCCCACATGTCCTCTGCAAAGACACACATGGCTCTCCTCTCCCTCCTCCTTGCAAAGCCTCCTGGTCCCTGTAGTCCTGTGAAGTATAAAGTTACATTGTCTGCCTCTGTGATGAAACTGCAACTCCCACAAACACTCCAGTACTGCTGAGAGCTGAGCCAATCAAACCCTTTCTGACAACATGCAGTCTTAAAAGGGAAACAGTTCTTTAACCCCTTCATGCCGGCGTGAAGAGGAGTTCCTGCGCCGGGAGGGGGGCGGGACGGGGCTTAGTGTCATGTGGACGCTGTGACGTCATGTCTCGGCCGGTCACATGATCGGGAAAGGTCCCGATCGAAAAAGCGGATCGGGACCTTTCCGTGAGTACCTCACATGTGTGCTGGGCACGCACACTCAGCACATATATGTTTTTTGTTACATGAACGCAAATGTGTGGCCGCTCGGCGTCTAGGCCCACATTTGTGTGCGGTCGGCGTGAAGGGGTTAAAATGGAAACAGCAATGGCCCCTCTACACTCTCCCCCCACTTAAATCTTTGGGTCTTCCCAAAGGATAAACTCTGTACACCCTGTTCCGAATTATTATGCAAATTCTATTTAAGTGTCACAAAGATTAAATATTTTTGTTTTTCAGTGTAACTCATGGATGGCATTGTGTGTCAGGGCTCTTTTGATCACTGAAAACAATCTCGGACACCTGTGATAATTAGATTGGCCGGTGAGCCCAATTTAAGGAAACTACTAAAGGAGGGTGTTCCACATTATTAAGCAGAGCACCATTTTCAAGCAATATGGGGGGAGAAAAAGGATCTCTCTGCTGCCGAAAAGAGTGAAATAGTTCAATGCCTTGGACGAGGTATGAAAACATTCGATATTTCACAAAAACTTAAGCGTGATCATCGCACTATTAAGAGATTTGTGGCTGATTCAGACCACAGCCGGGTTTGAGCAGATAAAGGCACATTGAGGAAGATTTCTGCCAGATCCATGCATCGGATCAAGAGAGCAGCTGCTAAAATACCATTACATAGCAGCAAACAGATATTTGAAGCTGCTGGTGCCTCTGGAGTCCCACGGACATCAAGGTGTGTAGTCCTCCAGAGTCTTGCAACTGTGCATAAACCTTCTATTCCGCCACCACTAACCAATGCTCACAAGCAGAAATGGCTGCATTGGGCAGAAAAGTACATGAAGACTAATTTTCATACAGTCCTGTTCACTGATGAGTGCCGTGCAACCCTGGATGGTCCAGATGGATAGAGTAGTGGATGGTTGGTGGACGGCCACCATGTTCCAACAAGGCTGCGACGTCAGCAAGGCGGTGGCGGAGTTATGTTTTGGGCCAGAATCATGGGAACAGAGCTGGTCAGCCCCTTTAGGGTCCCCGAAGGTGTAAAGATGACCTCTGCAAAGTATGTGGAGTTTATGACTGACCACTTTCTTCCCTGGTACAGAAGAAAGAACTATGCTTTCCGTAATAAAATCATCTTCATGCATGACAATGCACCATCTCATGCTGCAAAGAATACCTCTGCATCAATGGCTGCTATGGGGATAAAAGGAGAGAAAGTCATGGTGTGGCCTCCATCCTCCCCTGACCTCAATCCTATTGAGAACCTTTGGAGCATCCTCAAGCAAAAGATCTATGAGGGTGGGAGGCAGTTTACATCCAAACAGCAGCTCTGGAAGGCTATTCTGACATCTGGCAAACAAATTCAAGCAGAAACTGTCCAAAGACTCACAAGTTCAATGGATGCAAGACTTGTGAAGCTGCTATCAAATAAGGGGTCCTATGTTACAATGTAACGTGACCTGTTCAAATGTTTAAAAAGTTAAAATGTTCTTAAAAGTTTGATTAAAATAGCTTTTGATTTCAGTAAATATGCTGCAAACACAACAAATGACAATTTTCAGTTCTTTACAACCTATAAAGTGTTTTGAAACTTTTGAAACTTACTGTGTGTAATAATTTGGAACAAAAATCCTGTTATCATTAGGAGGTTTGTTCAATAAAATGTGAATTGTACTCTTAATAGTGGATAACATGAGAATTATGCTGACTGTTATTTACATCAATTATTTAGGTAAATGAGGAAAAATATCATTTGCATAATAATTTGGAACAGGGTGTATATACAAATTTCAACAGTTCTTTAAAAGGGAAACATCAATGGCCCCACTACACTAAGTAATTTGTATGGTATTTATTAACCACTTCCCAACCGGCCGTTGTATATAAATGGCCGGACGGTGGCAGTGCAGGGTCAGGTGGCCGTGACCCTGGTTGTGCACGCTCCCTGGGAGCGCACAGCACCTCCTCCAGACACAGTGAAACACTGATCGTCAGACAGGACCTCTGTACGAGGTCCCGATCACGTGATCACTGATTGGCCAATCAGTGATCACATGCAAAGTAGTAAGCAAGATGTCACTTACTCCCTGGGAGCGCACGCTCCCTGGGAGCGCACAGCACCTCCTCCAGACACAGTGAAACACTGATCGTCAGACAGGACCTCTGTACGAGGTCCCGATCACGTGATCACTGATTGGCCAATCAGTGATCACATGCAAAGTAGTAAGCAAGATGTCACTTACTACGTGTGAAATCTGTGAATGATCACAGAGGTCACATGGTACAAGGCTATTCACAACAGCCTTGTACCATGTGACAAGCTGTGACCAATCGCAGCTCACTCAGTACTTCTCACTGACTGCAAGAATGCAGACAGAGAGAAAGATAAATGATTGCTTTTACATCCTATATGGGTGGAAAAGCAATCAGTGTAAAAAAAAAAAAAAAAAAAAAAATCTTCATTACCCCACACAAGTAGTACAGTGTCACCATGGTGACACTGTACTGCTAGGGTGACAGTATGTAAAAAAATAAAATAAAAATAAAAAAAAAATAAAATAAAAGTGTAAAAAAAAATGTTTAAAAATTATAATTTTTGGTTATAAACTAATTTGGATTTTTTTTTTTACTAAAAAGATAACGGAATACATTTTGGCCAAGATTTATGATGAAATGTTATTTATTTGCAAAATGTTATTACAAAAACACTTTTTTTCAAATATTTTGGACTTTTTCATTTACATAGCAAAAAAAATAAAAATCCCAGCGGTGAATAAATACCACCAAAATAAAGCTTTATCTGTCTCAAAAAATGGTAAAAAATTCATTTGGGTACAGTGTTGCATGATCGCGCAATTGTCATTCAAAGTGTGATAGCGCTGAAAGCTGAAAATTACCCTGGTCAGGAAGGAGGTAAAAGTGTCCGGTATGGAAATGGTAATGATAACAGAAAACAGTAAAATAGACCCCCCCTACAACAAAATACCCCCAGGAACAATAGATCCACACTTGCAACAATAGACCCCTGCCAGCAATAATAGATCTCCCAGGAGCCAGCATCACTAGATCCTCTAGAAGCCAATAACAATAGACCCCTTCCTCAACGACAGATCCTTCCCAGCAATTGACCCCCTCCACACACACACACACAACAAAAGACCCCTCCCTGCAACAGTTGAACCCCTACCAGCAACAATAGATCCCCCAGAAGCCAGCATCTATAGCCCCTCTAGCACGCCCCAGCACCCCTTGCCATCACATGCAATAAGTGATGGCAACGTGTTCCAGTTGAAAAAAAGCCCTGCTCCAGGGAGCTTTCAATTGATGGGACCACTGTGGCTGCCAATCACAGCGGTCAAAAGATCAAAATGCTTGCCTCTACCATCCGGCAATTAGGGCCCAGAAAGCAACGGTGGGAAAGAGTTAAGACTTTTTTTGTGACAATCATGGATTCCCTTTGGAGGGATTCCATCTGACTTCCCATTTTGGCTATGGGACAGGAAGTGAAAGGAAATCTCCCCAATGGGACACAGCAAAAAAAAAAAAAAACCCCAAAACTTGACAGTGGTCATCACCCTCTCCCCGTATTGTATCCGAAATTAAATTAAAAAAAAAAAAGTTTTGCATTCAGTTCTACTTGAAGCACTCTGGCACAGCAGTATACTTTTAACTGATGGTCAATGTCAATGAGAAAATCCTTGTTATTTGTCCCGCTTTCCCATGATGCATGAACAGTCCCATTCGTGCATTTTCGTTAATTTAAATAAAGTTTGGAGCAGAAAGAAAACCGCTAATGACTATCCTGACCCTTGCTGCGGTTCACGGGGAGGAATAATGATCCTGGTCATGCCGGCACCGCGCCCGCCACCCAGTGTTATCCCTGCGGCTGCTGTTCCGGCTTATTAGGCTGGAGCAGTAAAAAAAATAAATGAGGATTTCATAAGACAAAAAAAAAGCAGCAACTGAATAGTTCATAATGATGCGTACATAAACACGGGGAGATATCAAGCATCCTATTCTATGCAAATTGCACATACGGTCTTCAAACAATGGAAAAATTGTTGAAAGCGTTACTAAACCCACAACAGTAAAATCAGTCGGTATATGCAGTAAAGCATGCTGGTTAGACTCCTAAGAATCTAAGGGGTTAATCCTCTGCATTGTTTAAAAAAAGCTGTTTTATCCCGTTTACTCTGATCCTCCCCTTCTTCCAGTGTCCCTGTATTATCTCCTGATAAGACATATCTTGTGGAGACATTGCACATGCTCAATTTGGTGTGTGTATTGCGAGAGAGGTTTTTTTTTTTCCTTGGGTGGTTGCATGTGATCAGTACTGTCCAGACAGAGGTCAGGGGTTCTGTATCCTCCTAAAGAAAACTTCTCCTACAAGCTTTAACCAGTGCTCTGCTGAACACTGATAGAAGTCACAAGACTGCTGTAATTGCTTATGAGAAAAGGTATTTAGCAGTTTATATTTACTAAAATAATTGCATTTCCATGTTGTGTGTACTGTGGAAGACCAAATATAGTGAATGCAGGGTCCGGGGAGACCAGACATAGTGAATGTGGGGTCCTGGGAGACCAGATATAGTGAATGCAGGGGCCTGGGAGACCAGATATAGTGAATGCAGGGTCCGGGGAGACCAGATATAGTGAATGCAGGGTCCGGGAGACCAGATATAGTGAATGCAAGGTCCTGGGAGACTGGATATAGTGAATGCAGGGTCCTGGGAGACCAGATATAGTGAATGTGGGGTCCTGAGAGACCAGATATAGTGAATGCAGGGTTCTAAGAGACCAGATATAGTGAATGCAGGGTTCTGGGAGACCAGATATAGTGAATGCAAGGTCCTGGGAGACCAGATATAGTGAATGCAGGGTTCTGGGAGACCAGATATAGTGAATGCAGGGTCCTGGGAGACCAGATATAGTGAATGCAGGGTCCGGGGAGACCAGATATAGCGAATGCAGGGTCCGGGGAGACCAGATACAGTGAATGCAGGGTCCTGGGGAGACCGGATATAGTGAATGTAGGGTCCTGGGAGACCAGATAAGTGAATGCAGGGTCCTGGGAGACCAGATAAGTGAATGCAGGGTCCTGGGAGACCAGATATATTGAATGCAGGGTCCTGGGAGATCAGATATAGTGAATGCAGGGTCCTGGGAGACCAGATATAGTGAATGCAGGGTCCTGGGAGCCCAGATATAGTGAATGCAGGGTCCTGGGAGACCAGATATAGTGAATGCAGGGTCCGGGGAGATCAGATATAGTGAATGCAGGGTCCTGGGAGACCAGATATAGTGAATGCAGGGTCCTGGGAGACCAGATATAGTGAATGCAGGGTCCTGGGAGACCAGATATAGTGAATGCAGGGTCCTGGGAGACCAGATATAGTGAATGCAGGGTCCTGGGAGATCATATATAGTGAATGCAGGGTCCTGGGAGACCAGATATAGTGAATGCAGGGTCCGGGGTTTAGTAACATTTTAAGGACCAACTCCATTGCAGAGATTATCCCTGTTTCCTGTTCTTGTGACATCTTTAGAATAGCGGGAGTGAGCGGTTGTCACAAGGACAGTAAGTCTTGTATATATTTGCATACCGGCCAACATTTTAGTCCTGGTTCACAGAACATTGTTAACCCCACACACAGTCCATCTCAAGCCTGCTCAGTGACTGGGTGGTCCTGCTTAGACTCCACCTATTTTATTGGAGGTAGCCTGTCCAAGCCCCACCTCTAGGTCTAGGGGGGTGTAGATGTACTCACTATCCTTCTTCTGTAAGCTGCAGGTTGATAGTTGCCTTAATGCCTTTTGTTGGACTGGCTCCTTCCTTAGCTCCACAGATGGTCCTCTCACAGGGAGCCGGTAGGTTCAACTTTCTCTCCTTCAAGATCCTTCCTAGAGGCAGGCCCCTTCACTGGGCCTCCTCTCAGGCTCCATACTTCAGCTCCTGCTCTCACATTTTCCACCCAGACTCTCCTGCTACTGAGCAGGCTCAGTCACTCTCAAGGGTTGACTTGCTTAGGGATTGGCCAGGATCCTTAAGAGTGCAGATGAGCTACTCCTCATCCCATCCCACTAAGTTCTAGAGACATCTCCAAGTCTCTAATTCAGGGGGAGGCATCAGGGGACCGATCTGCAGAGCCTCTCAACCCTGACCCAAATCTCACCCCTCTTACTATTTCTCCTGGCTGCTCTTTAGCCTTCTACTAAAAAATAATTAGCTAGCCACCCCTGGCTGACTAGGAGGGTGGTACATAAGACTTCCTTCTTCCCGTAAGGTGTCCCAGAGGATAGAAGTGCTTTTCCTTGCTCAGTGTGGTCATGTGTGTTGCTGAGTGCTTGCCATCATGATGCATACTCACTCGGACCAGATACTACACCTCCAGCATGGGGCATCAAGGCTGCTATGTACAGTGGGGTCCAGATATAGGCCATGACATTTGGAGTTAGTTCACTTTTTTAGTGTTTTTTGTGAAAAGGTGAATTTACGTTTTAAAGAAAAATCCAGATATGGCTATATCATATCTACATTGGTCCTGCTTGGACAATGTACAGTATACCATACCTGGCCATTTCTTTGAAAGTTGAAAATCATTTTAATACTCCAGTGATTTCCACTTGCTTCTAGGTCCTGTGTTGGGTGGCTGCCCTGCTGTATGTGAACACAGCAGGTCAGCCGCTCAGCTCATGGCACGGGCACCATGATTAGATGAAGTGGATAGCATGATGTCATTGCCCCACCCCTCTACTTTGTCCAATCTGAGAATTCTTTGCACTCAAAAAATACAAAGCATTCTATGAATAGTGCACATGCCGAGAGGCCAACCTCCTGTGTTCAGAATTACAAAGGGCAGCTGCTTGGTGCAGGACCTGGAAGCAAGTGGAGATCACTAGAGTAGGGTTGTCTACTTCAGCGACTTCCAGCTTCTAGGAGTGTAGCTAGGTGCCCATCAGCTGTGTGAATTCCTCTCTCACACCTTCTCCTACCACTGCGGACAGCTATAGAGTGGCTAGAGGAGCAGGTTTAGTTACCCCCTCCCTCTTGAAATACAGCACCCTCAATTGCTTGTTTATAGAAGATGAGAGAACTGGGCACTTTTCCCAGGCAAATCTAGAGAAAATCTAGGTCAGGAGAAGCAGAGCTGAGCAGATCTATCACTGGACAGAGCCCGAGGATCAAGGAACTGTGACCAGGCCACACAAGGACCAGATGGCTAAGACCTGTGTAGTTTGTGACCAGGAGCAAGTTCCCGAGGACCAGATCTGCTGAGAGACTGAGCCTTGTGGGGATCTGAGCTGAAAGACTGAGCCACCAGGACCAGACTTCACAGCATTGCAGGCCGCCAAGTGATCTGGACCTGATTCCTGTATACCAGTAAGGGCGAGTTGAATCTTTTGTGGATTATCCCACCACTGACACAGCTTATGCACTGCTCACTTGTTTAGTAGCCCACTAGCCATCCCGTTGTTACCTGTAAAGGGACAGCTACACGTCTCTAACCCACAGAAGGGCCCCAACATGGACATTAGGAGCCAGGTAATTTGCAGCCACCTCCTGGGGTTCCCCTTTGACAGGAATACATATGCCCCCCCCCCCCCCCCGCTGTTGGGGCTGTATGTGTAGTGTCGACAGAAGTATCTTTATTGTCCTGGGCTAGTTCTGATTCCAAAGAACAGGGGTATACTACTCAGGCAAACAATTCAGATCAATCCACAACAGGTGCAGGCTCTGGCTTGTCACCACACAAGATGCAACAGGAAGAAGGGTCAGCCGCACACCGGAGGATTGATATATATAGTTTATATTTATTGATCCATAGGACACACAAAACACCAGGACATAAATACAGGACCGGTTACGTGTTTCACACCATCTTGTGCTTAATCATAACAAGTTTATTCTGATACTTTACTCCTGTTTTACACCTGTTATAGTTTGGTTTTACATCGCTACAGTTCAGTTGATTGCCAGTTTATGGCTCATTGCTCATTTGTCTAGTACATCATCTTTAAACATGTTTGATTGCCTGTCCAATTAATCATGCATTGTTTAACTGTGTTGCTTTAATACATCCATTTAATCTAACACCAGTTGCTTCTCTGGGGGTAAGCTGAAGGATCCCACAGGTATTGTATATTCATAGTTATATTGTCCAAGCTGGCCCAATGTAACTACTGTATGTAAAAATATCCATACCTGGAATTCAGCTTTAAGTAATGACAAAGGAAGGATCTGAGCCATTCGGAACGAGGTGGATCACCGAGCTTTGTACATGATTACAATAACTGCAATCATCTTGAGAATCATTTAGATGTCCAAACATCTGAGAGCGTGCTGACAGCCAGCAGCCATGGCTCACTTGGGATTATGGCTGACGTTCCACTTCAATCAATTGATATTTTTGATGCACAATGAACAGATTTTGCTTATTGTATGGAAAAAAAATACTCCTAAAAAATGTGCATCATCAGTTGTTTAGTTGCCGGTACATCTCCCAATGTTGGCAATAGCGACTCAGATTATTTGTATCAGTGGTAAAATCTGGGTGTCTGCAGGATGTGGAAATATATCCTTTATTACTGGATATGGGAATTTATCCTTTATTACTGGATATGGGAATATATCCTTTATTACTGGATATGGGAATTTATCCTTTATTACTGGATATGGGAATTTATCCTTTATTACTGGATATGGGAATTTATCCTTTATTACTGGATATGGGAATTTATCCTTTATTACTGGATATGGGAATTTATCCTTTATTACTGGATATGGGAATTTATCCTTTATTACTGGATACAGGAATATTTCCTTTATTACTGGATATGGGAATTTATCCTTTATTAGTGGATACGGGGAATTTAACCTTCATTACTAAATACGGGAATATTTCCTTTATTACTGGATAGGGGAATATTTCCTTTATTACTGGATATTGGAATATTTCCTTCATTACTGGATACGGGAATATTTCCTTTATTACTGGATATGGGAATTTATCCTTTATTACTGGATATGGGAATATTTCCTTCATTACTGGATACTTTTATTTGAATATTTCCTTCATTACTGGATACGGGAATATTTCCTTTATTACTGGATATGGGAATATTTCCTTTATTACTGGATATGGGATATTTTCCTTTATTACTAAATATGTGAATTTATCCTTTATTACTAAATATGGGAGTTTAACCTTTATTACTAAATATGGAAATATATCCTTTATTACTAAATATGGGAATATTTTCTTTATTACTGGATATGGAAATATTTTTCTTTATTACTGGATATGGGAATATTTCCTTTATTACTGGATATGGGAATATATCCTTTATTATTGGATATGGGAATGTATCCTTTATTACTGGATATGGAAATGTATCCTTTATTACTAAATATGGGAATATATCTTTTATTATTAAACATGGAAATATTTCCTTTATTACTGGATATGGGAAATAAATCTTTATTATTGGATATGGGAATATTTCCTTTATTACTGGATATGGAGTGTATCCTTTATTACTGGAGACGGAAATTAATCCTTTATTACTGGATATGGGAATGTATCCTTTATTATTGGATATGGGAATTTATCCTTTATTATTGGATATGGAAATGTATCCTTTATTATTGGATATGGGAATGTATCCTTTATTACTGGATATGGGAATGTATCCTTTATTACTGGATTCAGGAATATTTCCTTTTTTACTAAATGCAGGCAGTGGTACTTCCATTGTACATTATGATCCTGCATTTATACCCATCCGATCCCTCCTCCCTGGCTCTGTTCTCCAAGTAATACTCATGTAACATATGGCGAGGTGTTTGCTTCCAACAGGCGGAACTGATTATTTATGAAATGTTTAATCAGTGTGGGAAAAGAGACTTTTTAACCCTTTACCTATTGGCTGAAGGATGAACTCCTGTGTTTTACAGTTGTACCAAATTTTATCCTGGACTGACATTACTCTGATTTCACTGCACACTGTGAGCTTCTCACAATGTGCATTAGAATCTGTAGCAAATCAGAACAGCCCACCTTATTTCCTGACTGGAGTACATCCATCATCATTGAGTCTTTTCTCCCAAGCCCTACTGTCCGAGCCCACCCCTTTTATTCATTGGACTTCAGTTCTTTCAATGGTAGAGGCTCAACATCACATCACATGTGGGCGTTACCTAGGGTGGCCTGTATGCAAATGTAGTCTGCCTAGGAATGGCCTACTTATTAAGGCATTTTGATATTTCTATAACTGCTTCCAAGAGCTGCTCTACT